AAAAGGCCAAAAGCTGATGGCTCATTCTGAGCGAATGTTTATCACAAGTGTTGTGCCTATGTCCATGGCTGCTGTAACAACTTGGAGAGTGTGAAGCAAATCCCCATGGAGACCGCCAATCACATCCTTGCTGGGTGAAAGAGCCGCTGTAGTATCGATTCAGGGAATAATAACAAATTATTGCAAAAATGGCTAAATAATAGATTTCCCCTGTCCAACTTGTCGATTCCAAGACATTTTCATCAACCCCAAAGACAGCAAGGGTGTTCTGTTCCTGTATAATTTTTTTTTTCTTGAGGGATGGGGAAGGAAACCTACAGCACAGCAGGGAAGTGGATTTCTTACTGTGAACCCAGTTAAGCTTGTAAAGCCAAAGATAAATTGTTTCCATGTGCGGGCATTAGGGCCCAATGTCTGTGCATAATTTAAGCTTGCCAAAGACTATGATTTTGTACAACTGAGACTTACAAAGCTTAGTAAGGGCCATTGACTGTTGTAAATTTTAAAATGAGGATAAGTATTGATTCAGGGTTAAAATAAGCAATGCCCTTTTGGATCAGTAGATTTAAGGGCCAGTGCATAGTAACAGCAGGGAAAAACCTGTTAGCATCAGGAATCAGTTTGTACTGTCTTTTTTTTTTTAATGAAAAATAAAAAGGGAATTTGGAGATAATTCTGAGCAAGGCTGGAATAAAAAGATCCTTACCTTTCTTCATGTCCTCTGAATTATGCTGTATATATATTGCACTGCTGGATGTGCTATAGAGATCCTGGAAATTTTCTGTGAGGTATCCTAGAGAAAAAAAGAGCTTACAGATTAAAAAATACTGAAGAGTTCTAGCCCACAGATCTATAATTTCTGCAATTTTGGAACCACATTTTATCACCAGCCGTTAACAACAAAAAACCCAACATCTGAATTGAAATATATCTGGTTTTTTCTTCTTTCTCAATCCTTAAATTCCCAACTTCTATAAGGCTACATAAGACCCACTGAACTCAATAGGATTTTTTTCTGAGAGGGCGTGCATAGAAATTTGCTTTAAAGAACGTATGTTCTGTATTAATTTGCATATAACATATTATATTTTGTATGCTTGTGAAACTTAAAAGGCCTAAATGCCTCACACTTACTCAGATAATTGCATATATAGATTCTCAACAAAAGGAAGTTTTTATTATCTGAGTCTAGAATCCATAAATGTGTTTGTCAATATGAAAGTTATGAAGCAACGTTCATCCTCCTCCAGAACCTAGGAGGATACAGAGGCTTTCTAATATAAAGCTGATGTCCCAGTTTCAATCTAACCCTTTTGAGTTGTTTTAAATTCTGGAACATTTGAAACTTCTAACACTAAGCTGGAAAAATATTGCTTGTTTGACTATCTAATTTGAACATATACTAGCAATTCTAATATTGCTAATCTTACAGTCTTACTACAATTCAATTTATTTATTCTGATGACTCACATGGTGAGCTAATGATAGCAATATTATATTAAAATTGAAAATGTAGTTTTGACAATATTTCATTCCTCATTCTAAAAGAGATACTCTTTTATCAGAAACATTTTCAGTTTTCCGACCATAGGTTTTCTGTTTGGCAGTAGGATAGAAGAGATATTTTTGTCTGCTTTAGTTGTTGGGGGAAAGGGACCCTTTTTTCATTGATAGATGCTCCAGTAACACCTAAAAAAGACATTGCATTTGCAAAGAGGGGCTTAATAATCTCCCAAGAAATCTCATATTTGCAAAACATTGTTGTTTACTCTCTGCCAGTGCTGATGTAATAGCCTGGAGGCTTATATATGGAGCATGTCTGCTTGGCTACATCTGCACACGAAAGGTTGTTGTAAGACAAAGTGGGATGGCTGATTTCTTACAGAACCATGTTAAAGGTGGTGCAGGAAAGATATAGTTCTTCTCCTGCCTTTGATATAGACAGAAGAGTTAAACTCCCAACATGCCTGTGAGGTGAGTGCTGATTAACAGCTGGCTTAAATAAACCAGCACAGAGTTTTGATGATATCATGCCCTCTGGTGAGTCTGATAGAAATGGGTATGTTTAACCTTGAGAAAAAATGACCGAGGGAGATACACTTTTCAAGTACCTGAAGAGATGACACACAGAAGAAAATCAAGAACTATTTTCTCTGTTTCCAGAATAAAAGGATAATTGATGTAAGCTTCAGGAAGACAGATTCAAGTTAAATGTTAGGAAAACTTCTTAACAGGAAAAGCAATTTGACAGGTAAACAAATTACCTAGTGAGGTCTGGAGGTTGAGTCATGGCAACTGGACTTCTTTTCTTTTTGGTAGAGATAGTTCGCTACTTGTCCAAGCAGCTTCTTCAGTCTCTTGAAGATGTTTCTTCAAGTAGCAAAACGTCTCTGCTGAAAAGAAAAGAAGTCCAGTTACCATGACTCAACCTCCAGACAATTCCACCTGGATGACTGAGAATCTTCATAAACATACCCAGTGAGGTGGTAGGCTCTCCTTCATTGGAGGGGATCCAGCAGAGATTAGACAGCCATCTATCAGGAATGCTTTAATTTAGATTTTTGCAGTGAGCAAGAGATTGCCCTTGATGGTCTCTTCTAACCATATAATTCCATGAAATTCTATACATATGATATTTGAGATTATGATAGCAGTGTTCGCAGAACATGCTATCCTATGGTTAAGTGAACTATAGGTTATTGCATCAACCCAATTGCCTTGGATCTTACTACACACCAAATTATAAAGTAATTTCAATATAGTGAGCCAATAACTAGACAACCACATTTTAGTCTAATATATTGTATGAATCCAGCCTTTAAGTGAGACCGTTGTTCCATCTTGGCCAGTAATGTTTTCCTTGACTAGCAGTGGCTTGCCAGTTTTTGAGGCCAAGTCCCTGGATTCTTCTGACCAACAATGCTATGCACTGAACTGAGGAGTTATACAAAGCAAATGCTGTACCACTGAGCTTAGGTTATCCAAGGCAGACCTGGATTTGAATATAAGTTTCTGGGTTCTAGTGTCAGCTCTTGTTTTCCCTTTACCAAACTGCACTGTATTTGCAGAATGGTATGTGGCTGGGAATATGCAGTACTTTATAACTGTTTTCTTACATTTACTGATGGTGAAGAATTTCCAGTTCTGAACTCTTTTAACTATTTCCTGTATCTGTTCCGCTGGGAATGGAGAAAGGTTAATTTGAGCCGGAATAATCTACTTACATATTCATATTTCCAAGACAGATAGGACCAGTCTCCTCAAGTGTTCATATCTCATGCTAAAAAAAGATGGTTTGTCTAGTTTTAGCTTCCTCTGCTTCCCTTAATATCCTTCAGAGTCTTGTGTTTTGTTACAGGTTCCAAAAATTTATTGGGAGCTTTCAACAAGACGCGTTCTTTTCATGGAGTTCATGGAAGGTGGACAAGTGAATGACAAGGACTACATGGAGAGAAACTGCATCAATGTCAGTGAGGTAATATTCCCTTTGACCATGACAGCAGCCAGTGGAGCTGAGCCAAAAATGTGCTCTTTATGGTATACAGTGGTGACATCTGAAGGGATCTTTAAGTTGAGCTCTTTAAAGTTGAGAGTTCCCAGTATTTAGGAGCTTAAGAGTTAATGAAATTTGGAGAATAAAGACATAAAGGCTTACCTAAGGATTGCATTATTAAAAAGAATTAAAACATACATTCAGAAGATTAACCTACAACAGAGTTAATCTTTTAAGCACAATACTGTAATTGTATTCATTCACAGAAACTACTAATTCTAACCATTATCGCACATATATTGAAAGCAATAGTGTGGTTTAACTGTCCTTATGTAAATTGTCCATGGGGTAGAGAGGAGCAGTCATAGAAGGAGTCTAAATCATGTTGTGACTTAGCCAAAACAGGTTGACTTAAATAAGTTAGACTGTCATGTTATTTATTACATGACTCCCGATTAGCTATATTGTTGATGTGATTATTCTCAGGAAGAAGCCAGAAAAAATTTGAGCAGAGAGCAAAATGAGGAACTGAGTGGAGGGAGGAGGGGAGCTGAAGATTGTATAATTGGTAGTAGAAACTATTTCAGTACTCTTTTTTCTCTGTGGCACAATTTATGGCTTATAACACGAAGTACACAATTCCACATAGTTCTACATGCAGATTTGGTGTTCAAGTATGATTTCTACTATATGTCCTGCACCTTTACCTTAATTAGAAATATATGCATAGAGATGTCACATTCTGTTCCAGATGCAGTCATATTTCATAGCCTGATGCGGTTCCCGATTACAGGGTGCGTGTGGCTGGCTGTTTGAGGATTAAAGTATATGTGATTTTTCAGGGGAAGAGGCTTAGTTTTATATGCAAAAAATAGGGCAAATTGAGCCTGTCAGATTTGCCCTCCAAGTCAGTGAATTCTGATTGAATTAGTGCTGCTTGCTTTTCCCCCTGTGCTCTATTGATGAGCGTCAAAATGCCATTTGGCTGACTAGCTATCAGAGAGCTCCAGCATAAAATCAATTGTACTTAATCTGTCTGTCTCTGAAGCCTCAATGCTCCCTTCCCATCAACTTTTTATTCTGTGGCAGAGGTCACTCAACATCATTTATATACATTCCAGCCTAAATTCAAAGGGGAAGTCAAGTTACACATTCATTATCTGTTAAAAGCCTACATCTATATATTTTCCTACTTTTCACTAGAAGGAATTGCTCACAAAGGTAAGTAAGCACTCCCAAATTACATTAATACACTAATTGGCAGTAACATAAAGGAAAATTGACATGTACAATAACTGCTTCACTGCTTCCTTATGCCTCTATTGCTTGTGTGTGTGTGTGCTTTGAGTCTCAGTATTTGGGATCACAGAAGCCGCTTGTGTCAGAGGGCAGATTTAGTAACAACCTCTGTGTTGCCCTTGTCTAATTATTTTTTTTTATCCCTTTTAAGTGGTGGTTGTTCATTGCTATGAAGAAAAGTACAGCTTTTAGGTCACTGTGGTAGAACTGATTTAAAAAGAAGAATTCTTCAGATTGGATGCTTTGTACCATAACTATGCTTTCTAAGATGGTAGTTTTCATATCAGAGGACAGTGTTTTGTATGAGAAAATATGCTGTCAATATTTAAGCCAGTAAACTGGCTTGAACCTTTCTTATTCTATGCCAAGGGATTGTTGTAGTCAAACATCTGGATCAAACAGATTTTCTGCCTGTATTCCCTCTATTCTGTACTTTCAATAAGATGTCTCATACCTTCCTTGTATACGTTTTAGATTTGCAACATGTATGTCATTTACTCTTAGAATATGAACACTGCACAATTTTATTAATATCCTCTTATTATTTTCATTATTAAAAACGTGGTTAATGCATGACTACATCATAACTGTCTTTCTTAGCACTAACATTCATTTTAAGCTTTTAGGCTGGAATATGCAGTATTTTTATTGTTTTAATTTTGCTTTGTATTAGGTCTTCAGTGTGATTTGTACAATTATATTCTGGAGTTGATTAACAAATATAGTAAATAAATAGAGGTTAACTTTATGCATGCTAAGAGATTGCAGGTTTTTCTAGTGTTGCTAGGAGAAAATAGGAAGCTGCTTTATATCAAGTCAAAACATTGATCTTTTTATCCAGGCAGCACAATCTGTTGGGATTGGTAGTAATTTT